CTCTTATTCATACAAGAAATAATAATACAATGTTGAATGACTGATCCAGAATCAATGTCCGAGTCCCTCTTCTACTGCAGGTATCACTTAAGGTCTACCATAACCATGGCCGCCTCTCCCACTCTTCACTCTCATAGCCCGAGGCTATGGCGGACTACTGGGCCCTGCTCAGATGCCCAAAGGACAACACAAAGCAGCTATGGCTGCTCTAGCTCAGGCCGCCATGCCTGACCCTGCCCCGAAGCTTCTTGGTGTAGCTTTCCCCAGCTGGGGACTCCCTGCTGCAGCGCCCACCAAGGTGATGAAGATGGCTGCCACCATAGCCAGGTAAGTACCCCTGGCGCTCCTCCCCCCTCCTTCCTTCTTCCTCCTTCCTCCCTCGTGTCCTTCTCCTTCCTCCCCAGCCGCGCTGCTCCAGCTTAGCGCTGCTCCAGCCAGCGCTCCACCAGTGTATCGCCAAACTTGCACACCGAAAAAGAGGCCAGACTCTCCGCCCGGCCAGAAGATATAGCGGCCTGCTTTGCCTCTTGGGCGGTGACTTCCAGGCCGCTCGGCCTCCTTAGCAACCGGTACGTCCTCCCTTTCGGAGGGAAACATCATTGCAGACTCTGATATTGCCCGTACAGGCCCTAGACCCAGACTGGTTGGACTGATATCCGCCTAGACCTACCCTACAACTACTGGGCCTCTAAAAATGCCACTTTTGTCTTCTTCTGCTCGGCCTCCGGTACCTGCACATCTACCCCTTTCAGGTGCGGTACCGGCCTACCTGCTACTTGAGTGTTTTTCCCCGCTGCAAGTGGCCCAACGAACGAGCAAGTGCCCTGACGGGCCACACCCATACTCATGCCAACCAGCACTCAGACAGGCACGGTCACACACACACCCAAGCCAACCAACACTCAGGCAGGCATGGTCACACACACACTCAAGCCATCCAGCACTCAGACAGACATGCAGTCCAGCAAGCGTGCACACACAGACTTAGTAGCAAGTGGGAAACTCAGCAGGGCATTCAGTCATGGGCAAAACTCAGAAATCAGTTGTGTGTTTCAGTCCATGTATGGACGGGTCCTCACAGTAGTGCCTCTCCAGTCTGCCCAGTATTCCGTCTGTAGCAGAGTTAGGAAATGCTCCCATGATCCTTTTTTTGTCTTCTTCTTTTTTTTCCCCTTTTTTTAAAGTTTTTTTTCCTTTTTTTCTTTTTTTTCCTGTCTTTTTTTGAGTTTCTTTAACTTTTTTTCGAAATTGGAAAATTTTGGACCATTTCTTGATTTATGCGGTGTCATTCTCGTGCCGAGGCCACGCTTTTAAACTCTTCTTTTTTTTTTTAACACCTTGGAATTCTATTTCAAACGGGCCCAGTGCCCAAGGCCAACCGGAAAAAGTAAATGAAATATAAGTTTGTAAAAAATTATAATCAATCCGCTTTCTCTGTATCGTTCCAATTTTAACAGATTTCAATCACAGAGGACAGAGGGAGGGAATCCATTTCTTTTGATGCTGCTTCCACATCAGGTGCTGTTGTCTCTTATTACTTTCCACAGCACATAACAGCATATACAAACTTCCCAGAAGAGAAGAGGCGATGATTCTTCATCAAGGGATTGACTGACTGGGCCTGCTGGGACTTAGACGAGGTGGACCATCATTTAGCATGCAGAACCTAATGCAATAAACTGCAGTTTCCCAGCCGGGGCTGTACAACAAAGTAGATTAGTTGTGTAAAATATATCGTCATCAAGATGTCGGTATCCCTATGGGTACAAACGCTGGTCCTGAGATTGCCAACCTTACACTCTATTGGGATGAGGCGCAGTACGTGGACAACCTGCAGCATGTGGATCCCTCTGCCGCTCGCCGATATGCTTTTGCATATCGGTTCATTGATGATGTTCTTACCTTTGATTGTCTGCCACCATCGTCAGCCTATTATGGTCTTGAATGGAAGGAGACCACTGCGGCAGATGGCTCGTGCACCTTTCTAGGTGCGAAACTGCAGACACGAGCAGACGGATCTCTCAGATTGAGTGTGTTTGATAAGACCATTGCATGGGATTTTCCTGTTATACGATATCCTAGTGCAACGTCGAACATTCCATCTCATCAGCCTGCAGGTGTGTTCACTGGCCAGCTTACGCGGTTTGAGCAGATCTGTGACAATTGGCGTGATTTCAAAATGGCAGCAACCATGCTTGTCCGCCGTTTGCTCTCGCGTGGTCATGCTCCGTCAACACTGGCCCGTGGATGGACTTGTTACATTCG